CACTCCACACTTTTAAAATACAGAGACTTGCACATAACATAAAAAAATAGACAAAAATAGTCAGTATAAACAAGCAATTAAAATAAATTTAAAAACCCTACTGAATGTCATATGAATTTGTTGAATGATCATTTCAGAATATTCAAAGTTTTGATTCGTTAAATGATCATTTTAAAAGATCCTAAAATTTTAGTCCATATTGATCTTTACTACTACTACAACGTTGAGATGACTAGCCAAAGATGGAAAGAAAAATCAATCCCTAGTGGAGTCGCCAGAAATCTGTGGGATCCAAAAATTTGGCCCCAACCTCTGCTCTCTTTACTTTTTCTTTCATGAGAGTTTTAACGGATTAAGTTCCGGGGTAAATTTTGGGAAGACATATGGGTTTATAGATAAGACACTACATAGAGATTTTGACCTCATTTTGCATGGACTTTATGATATGAGTTCTGGTTTCCTATAGGCGTAAGCCCAATAGTTAATTACCCCTCCTGATAATGAGAAAGAACTTTCAGTTAAGGCTAGTCGTCAATCAGATACATAGAGATATGTAGTATCTGGCATATAGTAGCATCATGGGCTCAAGGGTTTGTAAATTTGAAGGTTGAAAGATTTGATATTTAAAATTAGAAATGTCATGATTTTTTACTTAAAGGGGATGGTGGGGGAATGGATGATAGACCCTATCAAGATCCCATGGTTCAGTAGTCCTGGGCCATTGTGGTCCCTAGTTTACTTAGTCAGAGGAGGTTGTCTACCCAACCTGACAAAAGGATCATTGTTGGATACTATGGGTTGCTTCATCCAAGCGGATCTTGTAGACATGGGATGAATGTTTGTCTAAGGGGAAAATTTTGAATCCACCTTAGCTAACAGAGGGCTTTGTGCCCTATTGATCATATCTCAAGGATTTGATGCCACTAGGGAACTTACTGGATCTGGACATAACCTGTATTTTGTGGTGTCATTTGGCAGCAAAACTACCCTGTTCAAAGGGCCTCGAGTCATAATAATTTATCTTATGGTGTCATTTGATGGAAAAATTGTCATTTAGAGGACATGTACTACATCCTTATTGGCAGGAGATTGTTTGACAATGGATCATACTAATATTTTTTACTAAGCATTAGCTCCATGTGAGCTGTAGTAAATTTCAATTATTCAACCTCGACAAACTATTGTGAAGGATGAATTGATTTTGCTTTAAATGTTGATGGATTTATTTTAATTTTAAATTTTTGAATTTAGATGATTTTTAAGATTTTGGGTGGAGCTTGTAAGGCATTTGAATACTTGGAATTAACCCATCTGGTTGAGATTTTCATTCAACACGGCCATCATCGGGGTAACTTTGAGGTCATTTCCATTTGAAAATATTTGTATTTTATGGATGAACCTTGTCGACTCCATCGAGTTATTGACAAAGGATCATATTTCATAGGCTTTATTTCTTTGCTGGTGAGTTTTCTTTATTGAAGGCCTTGAAGGCCTATTATGAATGTATAAAATAAATATCCCGGTTTACCTCACGATCATATATTTATTTAATATTTTGAGCCATGTCGACTCCCATATACTCACATAGAAGGATTGGGCTCGAACTTGGACTCACCATTTAACCCGCGTAGTAATTCTGGGCATCACTAACATGCTCGCCAGGGCCTATGCAGGTGTTTTGATTATACTTACCCCTTTTGTTTATCTATGTTTATACAAGCTACGGTGCATATGCGGGGATATTTTGTTCATTTAAGGGTCCTTCTACAACAACTCATATGGGTTTGTAGTCATTTATATTTGTTATGCATCCTCTACTTCTACTGGTAGAGGATCAATGTATTCATAGCTGCCTTATAACAAACTGTATAAGTATCTCAGTGCTTGTCATAAGCTCCTTGTATCCTTCTAGTAGATGGCATATTATGTGTATGGCGGAGCTTCTACCACTGCTAGTAGGAACTTGTATTCATTTTGTATTATCCACCTTTGCTTATATAAGACTAGTGTACTTACTTGATACTGAGTGGTGATTGACTGCAAGATGTTGTTGCATTCATTCTAAGTCTTCCCTATGTGTGTTGATTGGAGAATTATTGCATTCTATTATATTCAATTCAATATATGTAGGGCATGTTGCAAGTGCTTGTATATTGGTCATTTTTGGCTCTAGAATACTATACTATTCATTATTTACCGACGGTCATTACTTGCAAATATATTACTGCACTTATGATGAACTTCTTGCATTCATCTTCATCCTTATTGCAATTATTACAAATCTCCTAATTACATGGAATCTCATCATCATTTATAAGTGACTTATGCTTGCAGAGAGTCTGTTGTATTTATTACAACTAACTTAATGTTACCCTTTCTTTGATGAACCATTGTACTTGAAAGTTGATCGGCTTTGATAGCAAGGCTCCTAATATATGAAAATGTATTAATGCTAACCATGAGGTGTTGAATGATATTTATTTGGATGCATGCCATTATTATTCATGAATGATCACAAGTGTTCCATAGTTGTTCGTAAGGGATTATAATTTTTCCTTCGTTAGCTAGTCGATGTTGACTGCCAGGATATTGCAATGTTGGTTAACATAAATTGCCTGATGAGTTGCATCCACACCAGTTCCTTCATATATGTTGACTAATGAATGGTTGCATTTGTTTGTGTATCAATTTTCATTATTCGTTGATGTTTGCATCTTGATTGGCATGAAGATTCTCAACATTGAAAGCTTCATACTTTTGATTATAGGCATAAATTATGAGTAGGTTGTGGTGTATATTATGACTCCTTTAATTTTGTTTGTGAATGAAGCGTTATGTATGTCATGAATCATCTACAACCACATGTATTTCTATTCATTTCAATTTCTCTAATGTTGCTTGCTAATAGATTGCATTCCTTACACTATTGTTTATGAATGATGTGCATAAACTTTAGTCATCATAAGTTATTGTTTGCAAATATCTGCATTCATAGCAACTTGTTGTCTTGGACTGTAGATGATATATTACACACATCACATACACGTTAAATCATGTTCATTGCTCATGGACCCCTCATGCTCGTAGGGAGATTACTACATCTGCTTGAAATTGAATTGTTGTTGATGATATAGATCCTACTACATTTATTATTCCACTAACGAGCACCTCATGTTGCATTTTGATCGCATATCTCTTTTTCAATCCCTTGTTTGCAAGACTTAGTATGCTTGCTGGTATTTTAATATTGGTTGGAGGGCACTATCATGTTCATCATGTATTCTTCGTGTATGTTCATTCTCATTGATCTTCAGTATATGTAAGAAACCAGTGTGCTCCCTTGTATATAACTTATGTTTTAAGATCTTCTGCCATGAGTTTCCTATTATCATGATGTTCACTTAAGTTCTAACTCATGTCACATTCATATCCAAATCCCTTATTATATAAATCAAGTTTGAATCAAATCTTTTATTTAATCATTCAATTTTATGTATAGTCCATCAAGTCCAAACAAAGTTCTTTGTAATTGTCCAAGTCCTTTGTAGTCTTGTTCGGTTCAAGTTCTTTGTTGTTCAAATCTTGTTCATGTCCCCTATTCATGTTCAATCAAGTTCAAAGGTTTACAAATTCGATTTTGCAAATTCCTCTTAATTTTCAAGTCATGGTTCTTGTTCACATTATTTCTTCTTAATATTTAAATTAAATTCAAATCTTGTTAGAGCTCCTTGCTCTTAGTTCATTCAAGTTCAGTCAAATCTTTCTACATTTGTTTGAGTCCTCTGTAGTCAAATTGTAAATATTTGTTTGTGTTCAATTTGTCCAAGTCAAATTAGAATTCCTTTTACTTAGATTATTTGATTTGAATTTAAGTTTAAATTATTGATTATTTAATCTAAAATAAGTTGCTTGCTGTCCAAATTTTTTTCAAGTCTAAGTCCCCAATTTTGCTGAAAATTTCGGTAGCCTCCTGGCATCTCCCCTGTTTAGGGGAAACGACGGGAAACTTGACCTCCCTCCATGCTAGAGAAAAGCATGCACGATTGGTGTCATGGGACACCGCGGCCATAGTCTTCATCCTCCACCATGCTAGAGAAAGGCATGCATGAGTCTTCCAGCACCTATTTGAAATGCACAATTTTATATTTGACCCTGCCTTGTTGTAGGCGTCGCACTCAGTTCGCTTCCCACCACGCTAAAGAATAGCGTGTATGAATTAGTTTTTCGAAGCATTACTAACGCCAAAAAATGAGGTTTTAGGAGATTGCCCCTCTGGTCACAAGCATCACAACGTATTCCCTCCCATCACATTAGAGAAAAGCGTGCATATTGTTCACCGCTTTGCAAGTGTCGAAACGTGGTTTCAAAGTTTAGGAATTATTCCTTTGCAAGTGTCAGTGGTGTTGGCAAGAGAAGTCAAGAATTCATACATATTTAATGTATAATTAATCATAAATTAAGTATGATTAGTTATATTTAATATATAATTAATTATATTTAATATTAAAATTAATTACAAATTAATTGGATCTAATTTGTAATTAATTATAAATTAATTATAATTAATTATACTTAATCTATAGCTGACTATGTTTAATTTAAAACAAATTATAAATCAATTAGATTTAATTCATAATTAATCCAAAGCTAATTATAATTACTTATATTTAATTTAAAAGTAACTCTATATTATTGTAATTAACTAATTATAATTGGTTCCAATTAATCATAGTTAATCACTATTAGTAATTAAATATAATTAAATGAAATTAATTACAATTAAGTTAATTAAGAAAGGTTTAGGGATTGTTTAGAAAAGGGATTTATATAGGATTTGCACAGATCTGATCTAATTTAAGTAGGATTAGAGCAGGATTTATGTTAAAACCTCTCACAGAGAGTTAAATCCTCATTTCCCTCTTCTTGCCATAAATTCTTGATTCACTAACCTATAGTTCATTGAATTTTAGGGATTTTACCGAAGAAGCACGTGAATATGGGAAAGTTACCTTCATAGCAAGCGGCTCCCATTCTTGCTTCCGCTCAAAATGTCCAAACCTAGAGGAAGGGAATGTTAGAGGAGCGAAGGTTAGGTCTCTCCTTCCCCCCCCTCTCTCTCTCTCTCTCTCCCTCCCTCTCTCTCTCTCTCTGAATCGAAGGAACCATAAGGTCGGGTTGGGCTAGGGCTCGGTTGGCCTAGGTAGATCTGCTCAGATTCTTGCTTCCGCTCAAAATGTCGTAACTTCCAAACCTAGAGGAAGGGAATGTTAGAGGAGCGAAGGTTAGGTCTCTCCTTCCCCCCCTCTCTCTCTCTCTCTCTCCCTCCCTCTCTCTCTCTCTCTCTCTCTCTGAATCGAAGGAACCATAAGGTCGGGTTGGGCTAGGGCTCGGTTGGCCTAGGTAGATCTGGTCGGGAATAACGGTGTGAGGTAGAGCAGACTACGGAGATGTTGGCGTCGGGTTAGGAGGCTTTATGGGCTCTTGGTTTTGTTGTAGAAGCCGGTGCAGAGAGGGGTCAGGATGGAGTGAGATTGGTGGCTTCAAGTAAGGTTTGAATCGGAGCTTATGACTTTTAGAGGTTGGTCGACGAATGGGGCTAGAGGAAGCTTCATATAGGTACAGATGTCGGTTAGAAGGAAGATATGCCAAATTTTTGTGTGGAGGAAGTGAGACTTCAAGTGCGTGGGAGAGGAAATGAGCGAGAGTTGGGGACATGGGAATGAACTGAGGGAGCAAGCTTGTTTCGTCATTATATTTAATGGCCCGATGGAGAAGTTCTTCGCACGCGTGAGATAGTACCCTTCGGTGCTATTTGCATAGATAAGGATAATGTAGCAAGAGACGAATGCGACACTGTAGCAGAAGGCGGGATTCTTGAAGGATTTACACAGGATATGGAATGGGCAGCCGGCAGGTAATTAGTTAAGCAAATGTTTTTATTATATCTCTCTTTTGTTTGAATCATATGTCAACACTCACTCACCTTTACCACCACCACATCATCTCCCACTGCCACCAGCTATTAATTATTCTCCTTATTGTGTGCTAGAAAATTTGAGTTGGTAAAATGTATATTTTACGTCTCAGTGTTGTACAATGATTCAGTGCGTACAGATGGAAGTAGTAGGACCAGAGAATTTTTTACCTGAAAATCCGGAAAAGGGAAAAAACTACGAGGCCTGGCCCACTTGTAAAATCCACTGCATAATAAGTGATACAAAGATCATCCATTCTTCACTGTTTAAGAAGAGGAATAGTACAAAAATCAATTATGACAGTTAATACCCAACAACAGGGCTGGATTTTCCTAGTGGGAATTATAGAAAGTAGATGTCCACAAATGAACTTTGATACCCAACAATTGGGTTAAAACTTGTCAAACTTTGTATATGGTAAAGATCTTTGATGCTGATCCACAGCGGCAATAGTTGGTGGTGGTCAACGACGATGATGGTTGGAAAATGCAAGAGAGTAATTTCTACTTCTCTATCTATCCTTCCTTGTTCCTCCTTTCTCCCCCTCATGTAAAGAATAAGAGCCTATTTATAGGTTTTTTAGAGTAGCATGTTTTGTAAATATAGAGAAAATATTAAGCAAAGTTGGAGTGCTCTATCAAATGATCCATATTGATTCCTTCGATCATAGAGCTTTCATAAAGTATTCTAAAATCATGTGATCTTGGGATTGTTAGATTTGTCTCGTTTAACCGCTGGATTCGACTATAAGCATCATAGCTGTCAATGGCGCAAAATAGCGCGCGCCATGGCACACGGCGCGGTGCGGCGCACCTACAGCACCATGTTCATGGCGAGGCGCATGTGTTTAAAATAGGGCCCTCTATTTGTGGCACATGTGAGCCATAGCGCATTGTGCACGGTGTAAAATAGCACGCCAAATTGTTTTTAAATTTCTGCATACTTATGAATATTTTTTATATTTAAAAATATATCTATATTTTAAGATAAACGACTACTCATTGCCCTAATTTTACGAAAGATTTTCTGTTTGCTGCATCCGCCGAACACATCCCGCTGTCCCTAAGTCGAGGTTGCTGAATCTATCCCGAAGTCAAAGGTTTTTTATTTTCTGTTTGCTGCATTGATTGCTTCCGCCGAATCCAGCCGAATCTGTCCAGAAAGTTGAAGTCGTTGTTTTCGCTGAATCGTCCCACAGAGCAGTACTTCTGCCAAATTCGCCCCCTCCTTCGTCTGTTCCAATAAAATCTTACTAGCTGACTTCGATTTGCAACCTCCGTCTGTTCCGCACAGCTTTGTTGTTTTGCACGGCTATTTCTTACAAGAATTTATAACTTAACAGGTATGCTCGGTACCGCTAGGTACATGCTCGGTACCGCTAAGTAAATGCTCGGTATCGCTAAGTACATGCTGGATACCACTCGGTACTGCTAGTTATAGGCTCTATACCGCTCGGTACAGCTCGGTACAACTAGGTACACGCTCGGTACCGCTAGGTACACGCTCGGCATCGCAAAGTACATGCATGATACCGCTTGGATTGTTAAGGCAGCCCTTAAAACTAGGTACACACTTGGATCCTCACATTTATTGGACTCCTTGTGCTGCTCACTGTTTGGATTTAATAATGGAGGACATTTTCAAAATTCAAAAGCTAAGACAATGCTTTGAGAAAATAGTGGCAGTACTCAGCTTTATATATTCTAGGCCTCGCTTACTTGAGTTAATGAGAAGGTGCACAAATCAAAGAGCACTTGTCAAACCCGCAAAGACTCGCTTTGTAACAGCTTTCTTAACTTTACAATGTTTTCATCAACAACAACTGAACTTGAAGAAAATGTTTACTTGTAAGGAATTTATCTTGGGTTCTTATGCGAAAGAGGCTAAAGAAAAACAATCTCAAGATACAATCTTATAGCAATCATTTTGGAATATTATAGTGTATGCCTTAAAAATAACTGGTCCTTTATTAAAGGTTCTTAGATTGGTTGATGGAGAGAAGAAGCCCCCAATGGCTTACATATATGAAGCAATTGATAGAGCAAAAGAGGCAATTGCTGCAAGCTTCAATAACAGTGAGAAGTATGATCAAATTTTTAAAATGATTGTTAGAAGATGGGAAGTGCAATTACATCGGCCTCTACATGCAGCGGGACATTTTTTAAATCCTGAATATTTCTTCAATAACCTCGATATTGCCAAGGATAAGGAAATAACTGATGGTCTTTTCCAATGTATTGGAAGATTATCTCAAGATATAGCTGAAGAAGATAAAATCAGTAATGAATTAAATTTATACATTAGGGGTGAAGGACTTTTTGGTATTCCTCCAGCTGTAAGACAAAGAACTACCCGATCTCCAGGTATCATTATTTATAAAAAAATTAAGATTGATTTGTTATATAATATTGAAAAAAAATTCATTTCTTCCAGCTGATTGGTGGTTGGCATATAGACATGGAGCTCCCAATTTACAAAGTCTTGCTATCAAAGTCCTAAGTATAACATGTAGTTTATCTGGATGCGAACACAATTGGAGTATTTTTTAACATGTAAGTATTTTACAATGTATGTGCTGATTTTTTATATATGTTCATAATATAGTAATGTAATAATATTTTAATTGCAGCTTCATAGCAAACGAAGAAGCAAATTAGATCATGGTCGCTTAAAAGATTTAGTTTATGTGAAATATAATAGAGCACTGATTCAGAGATTCAATCATCGTGATGTCATTGATCCTATTTCTTTGACTGAGATAGATGATGCAAATGAATGGCTAACAGGAAAATTAGGTGATGAGTCTGATGAAGAAAATGACTTTATTGCTGGAGAGGAAGATTTAACTTGGACAAGTGTTGCTAAAGCTACTGGTGTTTATGATAAAAGTTATAATATTCGGGAAAGATCTAAAGGGAAAGAGAAATAATCTTCAATTAGGCATGATGTTGCTATTGAAAATGATGATGAGGAGGGTGATGAAGAGGATTATGAAGTAGGAGACAATGTTGAAGAAGATAATGAAGCTTTTAACATTTGTTGATGATGATGATTCCCAAGAAGAGTAGATTAAATTCTTATTTGATCTTTTAAAAAAAGATTGTAATATTTGAATTATGAGATATTTGGATGTTACTTAGTCGAACTTATATATGTTATGGTTGTCTTTTATTATTATGATAGCTTGTCTTTCATTTTTAATAGTATTTCATATTCATGCTTATTATTTTATAATTTTTATATAGCTTGCGTCATGTTCAAAATAGCGCGCGCCGAGCCGTGCGCTATGCGCCATGGCTCCAAAGGGACCTTTGCGCCATGGTGCGCCATTCGCCGTTAACAGGTATGATAAGCATGTGATATTTGGATTTTATTTAGTTAATTAATGCTTTGAAGCTTTCAAATATGCTTCATCTCCTTGATTCAAGTCCATTTGGACTCGGATTGGACCGATTTTGGTGTCTTTTGGGTTTGTCTTGTCTAGAAGTTCAATTGGACTATAAGTTTGCTGAGATTGGAGTACAGATTGTCCCAAATTTAATTTTGAAAATTTTCAATTCAAATATGCCTCAAGATTTGTGCCAGATCAAGGTGACTTTTGGTAACGTATCCGTCCTGGCTCCGAAGATCCCAAGGAAGATCCTTGTTTCATTTCAGCATCTTAGAACAAATTACTTAATGGTTAAATAATTTTTGCTTTAAAAATTAGGCATTGAAATTTGACAAAGATAATTTTTTTAGTAAATTTAATTTGTCCATTAAATTTGCTTTGAGTTATATATAATATATTATTAATTTATCAATATTTGTAATGCAATTATCTTAAAACAAATCCAACTATTAAAAAATTCATCATAATCTTATTTGAATCATGACTAATATCCTGACTCTAATTTTCTTTTCTATCTAAGCATCTTGTCAATAAGATGCTGCTACATTTTCCATGTTTCTTATTCTTCTTTGTTTTCTTTCTATTTAATTTGTTTGAGATGAATAATTATTCAGTCAAATTTTATATTATATTCATCTCAACATAAATCTAATAATTAAAAATCTTGCAATGAATAAATTTAGATTAGAATTTCTTAACCCAGATTTTTTTTTTTTCGTTTAATTATACAGTCAATAAGATACTGATACATGTTGCTTCTTAATCTGCGTTGTTGAGTGAATTTCTGATGGCAGATAAACTGGCTGTCAACTTATGATCCTGAGACAAAAACAATTGGATCAGCAATGGAGACTTCTGCACTTACAAACGTGATGTTTTCTCCATATCAGGTTCCACATGATGCTCACCACTTACCACCACCTTAAATGTTTTTTAGTATGTGTATTCTTATTAAAGATTTCTGCAATAAATCTGTAACGCAACTGAAGATGTATCTACTTTGAATTGGGGTTATGCTGAAACACATCTTAATTTGTAAGATAATATCATGCCACCACCTTAGCATTTATAATATGCATGTACTTAAATATTTTTTCAATAAATCTGTAATACTATTGAAGATTTCCTTGCTTTGAAGTGGTTTGCTTCATCTATTTGTGATTATTAAGCTAAAACACATATCAATTTGTGACATAACTTCAGACAAGGCCAGAACGGAGCCTTCATTGTTTTAGATTTGTTTGGTTATTTGGAATTGGAGTTTTGTTGTTTATTCTTTGAAAGTGAACAAATTAATAGATTAGTTCTGTAGAGTCTTTTTTTTTTTTTTTTTTAAGAAAATGCAATTAGCAAATTTTATTAAAGAGAACTACTTACAATTGAATTCCTCATTTAACAATTTAGAGAAAGGAGGAATCTTATTAGAACTAATATCATCCCAAAAAAATCTAAAAAAAGAGCTAGCTCATAAATCCGCCAACTTATTACAATTTGAGAAAAGATATAAAACTTGCTTGAAATGACTGAGAAATCCTAAATCCTTGGGATATAGGTAGTCGTTCCTCACATCAACTTTATTTATTACATCTTGAAAGAATTTGATAATGTTAAGGTTATCACCTTTAATAATAATACCTTCTGCATCAAACATCCAATCTTGAATAAATCTCTTTAAGGAAATTATAACATCTCAAGTTGTGAGCAATCCCAATGTCGACAATTGAATCCAAAAGCATATAAGAATATTCCTTTAAAATCTCTAAAGACGACTCCAATACTAGCTTTATTTGTTTTTAGCAATGAAGCATCTATATTAACTTTAATCCATTTAGGAGGTGGAGGACGCCAAGACGGACGAGATAGCTTACACAGCTGATTGGCATCCTAGTTCTCCCAAATGAGATTCATATTAAGTGAGGCAATTGCATGACTAACTGGATTTGCTGCTATATAAGAAGAACCATCTTCTAATCCATCATGAATTATTTTATTTCTACTTTTCAAACAAAAAAACACCACAAAACAATACAAATTACCTTGGAACGGATTAGAGGTCGCAAGAAGCTTCAATCCATTATAACAATCTTCCAGAGATTGGAATGTAGAAATAACAAATCCCCATTTTTCAAGAAAACTAAAATCTTGATGCAACTTAATGCAATTTACCGCAACATGTTCAGAATTCTCTACAGTTTCACATCCTCTCAGGCAATCAAAATCAGCCAACCTTCTATAGCTTAGAAAATGATTACAAGGAATCACATCCCTCTTCAAACACCACCATAACAGAACAGAGCAATTCCTGGCCATAATTTAAGCTTTTTCATCCAGCTCCAATCTTCATCCTTCAATAGATCAAAATTAAATTCTTCCATTGCTAAAGCCGAAATAGTTTTACTAGAGTATTTGGACTTCAGCTCCAATTGATCTTTCAGTAAACCTGGATGAATGGGGACGGATAAAATGACATCTACGATATGCTATTTAACCATTCATTTTGGGGCCATTTTGCTTGTGGCTTAATACTTGTTTCTGAAGAACGAATGCATTGCATTGTCTCTATTCATCTAAGGAAAATGAATTTGAAACTATATGAGAGAGAGAGAGAGAGAGAGAGAGAGAGAGAGAGAGAGAGAGTAATAGCACTCCATATGATTCATCATGAATTATATTGGCACTATACAATTGCTATTTTTGCCATTTGAGATTTCAAATGGCTTGTTAGTCGATAAAAAAGAAAAAAGAAAAACTGATCACTCAAGAAATTTTATATCATCAAACAAATTTTTGTTAGTTGTCATCTGTGAATCAACATGACAATCAATGTGATCAGGTTGAAATGATACAGGTGCAAGTTAATTTTATAGGTAAATTTTTTTGAATGTCTTACATAATACATCTGATTATGAGAAGCGCCTTTTATTTTTCATGTGTTTTATTCGGATGGTTGTAGTTCTTTATGAAATTAGCTGTTATTGTTATGAGGAAAGTATAGTTTATAAAAATTATTGTAAGTATTGTAATTTTTTTTCCATCAGAAAAAGCAAAACCGTTAGTATAAAGAATGCCATAAAGGATTAGAAAGAGAAAGTGCATAAATTAAAATTCATTGGTGCATGTACGAAACACATATCTTGCGAAGGTAGTACCCACTACTAAAAATAATAATAGATAATTGTTTTCTAGAAGAGCAAAACAGATTCACTTGAGGATCATGTCATAAGATATTAGATTGAATTTCAGGGGAGAGCTTTTTTAAATTAAATAGGATTATAAATGAATACGTGCCCCTTGGTTAAAACGTATTTTAAATTGTCTTCAATATAGTCCCAAAGTATTTGACATTACACCTAGTGGGCTCCGAAAATTCGCACCTCGGCCTCCTCGTGCTTTTCAGGGATTTTTAACAGATTAAGTTCCAGTGTAAATTTTAGAAAGGTAGATTGGAATTGTGGATGAGACACTTCCCGGAGATTTTGCTCTCATTTTTCGATGACTTTTTGATCTAAGTTTTGGTTTCCTATAGGCTCAAGCCCCTATAGTTAATTACCCCTCCGGGTAACGAGACAAAACTTTCGATTAAGACTAGTCGTCAATCAAATACATATAAAAATGTAGTATGTGGCATATAGTAGCAGCATGGGTCTGAGTATTTGGAAGAGTTTATATTTAAAATTTGAAATTGTACCATTTTGCACTTAAAAAGTATGATGGGGAATGGATGACGGGCCCGATAAAGATCTCATAGTTTCGTCGTCCCAGGCCATCATGGTCCCTAGCCTACTTAGTCAGAGGAGGTAGTTGACCCATCATGACAAAAGGATCCTTATCGGCAACCATGGGTTGCTTCGTCCAATGGTACCTTGTAGACTTGGGGTGAGCATTTGTCTAAGAGGATAAATTTGAATCCATGTTATCTAACAGAGGGCTTTGTGAACTATTGATTATATCCTAATGATTCATAAATCAAGGGTTTGATTCCAATGTAGAGCATATGAGATCTAGCCATAACAATAATTTAGTAGTGCTATTTGACAACAAACTATTGCGGAGAATGGATGGATTTTACTTTAAGCGTCTAATGGCTTATTTCAATTTTAAATATTATGAATTTTAGTAATTATGGATTTTTGGAGTTTTATGGGCATTTGGGAAGCATATAAAATATTTGAAATTGATCCCTCCGGTTGTGATCTACGTTCACCATGAACATCATCGGGGTATTTATGGTGAATTTCATTTATGAGTTGAACCTTGTTGGTTTTGGGTGTTTGTCGACAAAGGACCGGGTTCGTTGCCGGTTGTATATTTTAGTTCATGAATTTTTGGTTTTATAGGCCTTAAAGGCCTCATATGAATGTACAAAATTAAATATCCCAATCTATGCTGCAATGATATATTTGTTCAAGTCGTGTTGACTTTCGTCCTATCAAGGAGAATGATTGGACTTGAACTTGAGTTTTTTTTTTTACCCATGCAGCATCCTCAAATGTCACGTGTGTAAATACAACACGATCGTCAGGGCCCATGCATATATATTATTACATGTTAATGTGATCGCACATGCACTTTCATATATGTGTGTATATACATTGTTACAGATGTGTGGTGACATTTTTGGAATATTTGACGAGTCTTTTATGAAATCTCTTAGAAGCTTATATCTACTATATATATTTTATCTTCACTTGCATTGGATCAACATATTTATCTTCCAGTAGATGGTTATTGGCTATAAGAATATTACAGCATTCACTGCCTACTGCTACAACGACTTGCAGCCACTTTGCATGTGTTGTAAAGATGCAACCTTTGCCTATATAAGGGTTGGTGTATTTCATTGTTGTTGTATGATTATCGAATGCAGTGGGTGTTGCAATAGCTCGTGCCCCCATTCTTCATGTACTTGATTATAGACAACATGTTGAGCTCTTGATGGGTCTTCCACAACTACTACAATAGCCTATAAGTGTGTTTGCATTTGCTACATTCCTTATGCATTTTGTTGCGGTCTTTGGTCCTTGCAGTAGATCCTCTGCTGTTACATCTGTATTCATAGAGGACCCATATATATTGCTGATCTTCATCTTCGCTTATAAACAATGCCTCACATGCTTACTTATAAACACTGGAGATTCATCATATTTATAGTATATCTCCTATAATCATTTGTATATGAGTCAATGTGTTTGTTTGTGATTCATCATTGACTACTGGTTGAGCTAGATTCGTCGTCAGCACCTTCATGATTATAAACCAAGGAATCATCACATTCTTCGTATAATGTTTACTATTAGGAGAGTGGTGTATTCACTTATAATCAAGTGACATTGATTGTATGAAGATTGCATTTGCTTCAGACTTTTCAAATACACCTTCGCCTTTAATTTATGTATGTTGAATTCTTTTGTCACTCGCAGGGGTGCAAACAACATTGATCACTTTACAAATTGTATTCACTACAATCTTCTATTCCGTGATTATTAAAGATCCCTCACGCCATGCTTATATGTAATATGCAATGTGCTTCGTAACTCGTTTCATACCCTTCATGCTTCATCTTTATACATTTCCTTCATGTTTTGTTACTTGTGAGGTTGAGTGCATTTACTTATAATTTGACGTTGATGGCGAGGTGTGATCATATTCACCACCTATGTTTTGTATTCATTGCATATTGGTTGTTGCCATTTGTGATAATTGGATACATGTCCGTTTACAAAATTAACTGATGTCGATGGCAAGGGAATTAATTTTTTTGACCTCTCCCTTATTTTGCTTACATGAGATAATAGATTATTATAAGAAAATAGAAAGATCTCAATTTCAAAGTCTAACTTTTAATTTGAAATAGATTTTATTTCAAAAATAAAAATATACCACTAAAGGAGTTAGAGGAAGAGTGAAAATCATCGATGTTTCTTCCTTTAACTGATTTAGAGAAGTCAATCACTGCTTATTAATTTATGAAACCAAAGGCTAGAAAAAAATCTCATTTAAGAAATTGTATCAGCAGTGAGCATCGATCTGATTCTTTTAAAAGAAACTTAAAGAAATAAAAACCAACATGAAAAAAATATAACACAAAATACAGAAACAAGAACAGACATATAAATAAAACAATGACTAAAACATCA